TTAACAAAACAAGTTATTATTGCAACCGAGTTCTTCAAATAAAATTAGACATGCAAGGTGGACAAGTATTATTTGTCACAGGTTTTGGTTTGCTAATAGCATTTTGTCTTGCTACCCAAGTCACAAGCCTAGACATCCTTGAATTCCTCAAGCCCTGTCAAAATGAGATGTCTCTGCCTCTTTCAAAAGAGAGGAAGGACCATTTTTTCCTCCTCTCCCATTACACTCTGTGATTGAAAGGGAGAAGCTCAGGAGGGGACGTGCAGTCCATACTGGGGCAGTGGCAGTGGGCTGCCTTTGCCTGTGCAGGGATTCACCTTTTCTTCTGAGGGAGCAACACTGTCAGATCTGCCCCCACAATAGAACTTGAGAGCATCAGCTGCAGAGGCACCGATACCATTTTAGCCTTAAAAGTGCCCTTCAAAGGGCAGGGCACTGGGCCCCTACTGGGCCGGGCAGGCAGGTGGAGTGGGGCTGAGCCTCCAGTACAGTGTTAGTTACTTGACTTATATTCTAAAATAAGAAAGTTAGTGATCTCACAGTTCCCTCTGCCCCTTGCTATGGATGTGTGCACACATTCTGCATAGCTGCAGGACACAATTCTGGCTTAGTGTGTTTTCTTTGTGGCTGAATTGTAGTTGTTGTGAAAATCTTTCCATTTTGATTTTTGCCATCAGTGTTCCAAGTATTACGGTTAGTTGCATTTCATTTTTGTCTATCCATAAAACTTGTTTGTTGGGGTTTTTTTTGGAGGGAGTAACAGAAATGCTTGTGCATTTAAGAGATATATTTAATTATATCATCTTTAAAACCAGACTGTCCTAATGCTTCAAAATGAGGCATCTCACCCAGGGGTAATTTTTTTAATATATATTGTACTTTATGATTCACAACTTAAATTAACTTTTGCTGATTTAAATTTGCTAGAGGTCTAAGGCAGATGAGAATTAGAATTACCAGGTGCCAACTACAATAAAACACAGAGGATAATCTAATGGCTGATCCTCAGATGAAGGACACTATCTTAGTTTTGTGTAGTCCTCGAAGTGCAACAGCGTTGTATTAGCCTCAGTTCTGCACATTTAAAAATAAAAAATGGATTGCAATGTACATTGCAGAGAGCACGTTAAAATATTATAAAATTGCCATTTTAATTTGAAGTTATTTTGACAGATTCGAGGCTTTCTGCTGGTGATGACAAATTAAGGTCAAGGTTTTTGTTAAGGTAAACAATGACAAGAAAAATGGCAATTTCTTTTCCTCAAATCTCTAAAGCATTGTGAAGGGAGACATGAAAGGGTACCAGGACAGGCTAGATGTCCAGCTCCTCTCTATGCCTTTGACAATCTCCCCTGACACTAATGTTTAGTTTTTTGTATTCTTAAAAAAGATTCACAGTCTTAATGTAAATTGCCACGTACTGTGGGAACAAACAGCTAAGCTGTTAATTTCTCTTTTTAGTCATCTTATTTTGGTACTTTATCATCAGGACTTATGCTTCAGTGGCATTTAGGATGTGACAAGGAGATTTGAGTGATGTCAAATAGCAGATTGACCCTAATAAAATGTTAAGCAGAGCTTAAATGCATATGTAGAGAAGGTTGAATAAAACAAGAGATGCAAACAATTTAGCGAAACCCCTTTCAGAATAAAAGCAGTTGTATTCATTTGGTCTGCCTCAAAATAGTCTGACAAATATGATGATTTTTTACTTTCATTGCTAAATTAGAGTTTTTAATGAGACGTTATTAAGCATCTGTTTCTCAAATATTTAAGTAAAACTGCTTACAAAATAATTTAATTTACCTTGAGTTTTCATACCTAAATATTAAGTTACAGAGAAACAAGAATAAAAATCCTAAATTTCACCTGTATTACAAATAATGATATTTTAAACACCATGACAGTTTTAACCTTTTATCTATACATTTACATCTGAACTGTAAAAACCTGCTTCCAAAGTACTGCAAGTGAATGGCAAAGGGAAAGAAAATAGCTCTTTTTACTTCAGCGTTTCAACCCAGTGCACGAGCCTGGACACCAGCGAGTAGTCACAGAAGCTGCAATACAGGCAGTTAGCATAATTTTGCTGGAATTACGCTGTATTTACAGACTTCGACACTGGTGGGTGCTAACATTTTATTCCCCTGCGCGAGGAGTGCATCCAGTCACTTCTAACAGCGCTGCTGGGGCTGCGCAGCCTCAGCTCCAGCGCCACTGAAGTCGGGCTTCGGTTTTGTTCCCTTTGGTTTTTAAGCAAAGAGAGAAAAATAGAAGCAAAAACAGGTTTTTTACCTTGCGCGCTGTCTGTTGTGGGGCTTGTGTTCAGCTGCGTCTCAGTCGCAGAACACCTGCCGTTCTCTTCTGCTGCTAATTGTGTGACAGGCTCATATCGCAATATGGCATCCAGATCATGGAAAAACTTCATGGTTTTAGTGACATCCCCAGAGTTGTGGGCATATTTAACCGTTCTGTATTCGTACTTCAGGTTTTTGTACTTTGCACGGCACTGTTTCCAGTCCCTGCACACTCCCAACTCCTGTAACCTTTTAGCAATGTAGATAAATATTCCTTTATTCCTCAGGGTGCCGTGCAGTTGCTTTCTGATATTTTTTTCTGACCAGACGCTTAACAAGGCTTTAACCTCCTCCTCAGTCCAATGCTTCCCGGCTCCACTCTCCATGTTGAAAGTGACCTGGAAATGATTCACTATTTCTAGCCAAGATTTTGTTTCCTAGGAAACCAGACGGCTGGTTGTCAGTAAGCTCCGCCGAGATGAAAGGATCTGGTTTTACTGGCTCAAGCTGCCAGAGGGGAGTAACTTGAGACGCTGCCAAATAAGCAGGCTCGGGGCTGGAGCCCGGCGAGGGAAGCGGCTCCGGCGATGGGGAGGGGAGACCTCAGCCGGGCCGGGCCGGGGCTGCTTTAACCCTTCTTGGGGACGAGGGCGTCAGTGCGGGCACCGGGGTGTGAGGAGAGAGGCAAAAAAAAAGAGCCATACTCTTTCGTTCCTTTAAGAAAAAAAACAAACGAAAACAAAGCAACATGACATCCAGCGGCCCCCACACACACTCTTCTGGCCTGCCCTTTGCCGGGTGAGAGCAGAGCACCTCCTGCTCCCGTGGGGGCACTCCCGCGGTGCTGAGCCTTCCCCCAAACAAGGGGCACGTCAGGATCACCCTGCCTTACATCTTCACATCTCCGTGCACTATTTGTTTTTCAACTGATGGCCATATATACACGGTTTTTAACTTATATTAGTGGTGTTTTAATAAAAACTGGTATACTTAAAAGTATGGCTCAACTAGTAAAGTGATGGAAGCTTTGTGGTAATGACACTGAGCTCCCATGTCTTTTGTTAGTTTGACATCTGAGGTGTAACCCAGCACCTTGACCAGGGCTTTCCTTGGGGTGTCTGCTTCCCTCTTCCTCCCTATTGATTTCGTTAATATTTAAAGGGACCATGACAGTATTAAAATGGCCTGTAATATTAACATTGTGACTACAAGTTGCTGAATGCAGTGTATCAACCCTTAAGTTTTACCACCAGTCTTTGTGTTTATAGATAGGACATCTTCCTGAGTTAAAGTAAATGGCTTTAAGAATGTCCTCATCTCTCATTTTTTCCTTTGAAGATCTGTGTCACTAACAGGGTAAATGTGTTCATATATGTGTGAATTTTGGTTTGTTTTGCTTTCTCTAAGCAAATGTTCTTTAAAATGTTTGCTTTACCTACAACTGGTACTAGTAACAAATAAAGGGATTTTAGGAACTGGAGAAAATTGGTAATGAGCATGGTCAGTTGTAGATTAGCATCCATCCATTCTGTAGATTTTTGTGGCCAATTTTATAGTTGCTTATAGTAAATAATTCCAGTGACTTCAATTGCGTTAAACTAAAATAGGATCTTGGGATAATATTCTAAAAATATTTCAAGTCTTTCCTTTTTTAAGCAAAACATCTTTCCTTTTGAGACATTATTGTATATGAGAGTGGATGGGAGCTGAGTAGTCCACCAAAGTTCTGATGAGTATTACAGACACAGCAGGTACACAGCAGCAGTTTTATTAGAGGTAACACTCCACCTTATTCAGGAAGCCTTTTAAAGGGAGATGGAGCAGCCTGAACTGTTACCCACAAAAAAAATCCAGCCTGCAAAGCTAAACCTTTTCAGTGGATAAGGACTGAATTCCAAACCATGGGCAGTTGCACAGAGTTCTGCCTGCCTTCGGCAGGACAGCGTCAGGACACCTGAAGTGCGCCCAGGGGACCCAGTGTGGAGAAGGGCTGGGGAGGACAGGCAGCAAAATAGGGAAAACTCCCTTATTTCAGCTGAATCCACTCTTCTGCTCAACAAAGCACAACTGCCAGCCTGAGGCTGATGTGCTGTAAGTATTTCCATTTGCAGTGATGCTTGTACATGAGACTTGTTTTACTTGAGAAGTGAAGATGCCCAACATTAAATTTATGCAGTCAAATGCTTTTATCAGAGGTTCTGTGTAGCTTTTCCAGGTGTAAAAGCTAGCTTGTCTGCTGAAGTGCAAAAATGCAAAAGCTTCTGCATAGATGATCAGTGGAAAAGATAATCCATTCCCATAGGCAAAACCATCAGCTTTTAATAACATAGCCCAACCCAAAGCAGAAATACAATAGCACTATAGAGCCTACTACTATCACCTAGACCACTATCCCTTTGAAAATGGCATGTCAGATTAAGCGTCTGTTTTTATGTTATATCCTCACTGAAATAGGACTGCAACTTGTGCCAGTGCTTATTAGTGGAAAGTGGAATTCAGTGGGCTTAAGCAGAAACCTGATGTGACTGTTTTGAAACAAAGTGTAACACGGGCAAGAAATCAGTTGCAATTACACATCTGCAAAATAAAGCAACAAATAAGCCTACATTTAAATTTCATGACAAAACACCAATCCATTGTATGTTAAAGTATTTAATATTTTAAGCATTTCAGTGCTTTATGTTAATTTTATTTTGTTTTCAGGGGCCAGGAGAGTGCTGGAATTGTGACAAGTGATGGAGAGTCATCCCAGGCATTCAAAGTGCACAAGGTAAAATGCAAATGAATGTTTTGTACATTCTTAATGGAGATGCATGAAAGTTTGTTTCTGCTAAGAAACAGTATTATTAAAGAAAAAGTAACGTGTTTTGATGGATTGTTTTGGTTTTGTCAGTGAGAGTATCTAATTTTGTTACTTGTGTAATTTCTGTCTTGAGTGTACGCTTAAAACAAACGTGCCACCATTGTCCTGCTGAGTGTATCTGTGCATACAGTGGCAGACACACAGAAGTTATCCAAATCATGCCATTGATGTCACAAAAACTACTTACCAAAGTCACTCTGCATCTCAGGTGTTAACTCTGCAGATTTAGAAGAGCATTGATGCAACTTGATCTCAAGAGAAAAGAAATGCGGTTAAAGGTTGTGCACAAGGAAATGGATGACTAAATCTTATGTTAGCATGACTCAAGAAGTGGCAACTTTACCCATAGGTAAAAATAAACAGAATATAAGACTTAATGGACGCCTGAGAAGGTCACACAATCTTTCTCAAGCCGATGGAATCCCAGGGGATGTTACAAGACACAAAATGACCACAGCCTCTAAAGTGTTATGTCAAGAGAATACCTGTATGCTCTGGGGATATTCCGTATAAAATAGTGATCAGGAAAAAAAACCAAAACACCAGCCTATTCCATCCCGGAAAAGGAGAGGATTGGAAATAAAAATACGTCAGCAAAAGAACCATGGGGTAATTAAATAAAAATACATCAGCAAAAAAAACGTGGGGCACTTCTTGTTGTATGTCCTCTGATCAAAATCAGAAGGCATTCAGAGTTCTCAGAGGAAGATTAATTAAGCTGTTCAAATCAGTCCAAGACTAAGAATCACTCTGCTGCAGCAGTATATGTATCTATGCATGACTGCTCCGTGCCTCATACAAAACCTTTTCTCTCAAGCATCGTGCTTGTCCCTTCAGGCACTTCCCCCCTCCTATCTGTTATTTGCAGCCTGATTCACACACACACACACACACACACATGCGCGCACACTTTTAAATGCACCTTCTCTCAACTTTAGCGGCATGTTATCTGTTCTTTATTCCCTCTCCTGCTTGAGTTTCAGTTTTCCTTCAGGTTTACAGAAATTTCAGTTTCCTGTAAAGTGGGCTGCTCTAGAAATCCCAATAAGTGAAAAAGTGCTTCTGAGAATGACCTTCCACCAGGTGATATAATAATTTGCAGTATCTCCATGTTACTGAGCTACAATACTTAGCTGTCATGCTAAGAATTTAATTGACTATCTCATCATATCAGCTTTGATATTTTAAGAGTTGCAGAGCATGTGATAGTTTCTTTTATCCTTGAAATGTATTTCTCAACTACAACACTTTTTAAAACTGTAATAACCACAGTGTATTAAAGAACCTGTGTAGTCCAGTTTATATGACCTGGTTAATCCTGGAAGTGGTGCTAACATAACAAACATTTGTGTCTCTTACACTGGTGAAAGCATATTTAGGACTATGACTTGTAAACTAGTACATAAAAATATCAGCAGTTAAGATGCTACTGTACCTGTTTGTTCTCCAAACCCACTTGACTCTTCTTCATAGCAAACAGAATGCAGAAAGCTCTCATTGCATCAATTTACTCACCTTTGTCAACAGTTTAAGGAAATACCTGTATTAGAGTATGAACTGGACCATCTAAGGTATAGGTACATGTTCCCTTCTGATTGTGGTCAGTCTTTGACTGTGGATTGATAGCCCGTGACAAAGGCTATTAATCCTTTGTTTTAAAATCTCCCAGAAAGACTCGTCCAGATTTGTCTGTTGAAGCCTTTCAGCTAGACTCATACAACAAAACAATATTGTCATAGATGTATTAGCTCAGGGGAAAACATAAATCTCTTGTATAAATATAGTGATGCCAGTAAGAGAAAGACTGGCTGTTTCACACTTGGACATGCAGAATAATATATTCAAGTAGCAACTTATCAAACCATTATTGTGTTCTGGCATGTATAAGGGCTTGTATAATACAGATGTAAGATTGTCTTCATTGGTATTTTTTTATACTAGCGTAATTCACATTTGCATCCCACACCAGTGCAATCTATATCAGAGGAGTATTTCAAACTGCAATTAAAAGATTATGTACTTGTGTAACCAGATTGTGTAAGTTACTGCAATACTTAACTTTGCCACATCCATTAACCTGTGAACTGGCAGATCTGTCAGGCTAAAGTTGGCCTAAATAAAATAAGAGTGCATGATTGCATTTCTGTACATATATGAGCACACAACTTTAGACCACCTTTATGTCACCTGTGAGACCACAGATGATAATTGATTTGGGATAAAGTCTGCTGACAACTAAAGCAAACCCATACAAGATTGAGGCAGTAACTTTTTAACATGATAATAAATATCCTAAAACAACATACGCAACCACAGCCTCTTGGTATTCTGACTCTACAGCAGTTACAGCAGAAAATACCCTAAAGTTGAGCCTACTTTTTTGGTTGAGCTCTGAAAACAGCTCAGCCAAATTCCTTTCTTTCTGTTCCGTCTCACTCTCTTGTTGTTGCATCTGCAGCACAGGTTATGCCATTCAGAGCTTCAGACCTCTCCTGTGTATCTTTGAAGGTCCTAGAGGTGTGTCACCCATCATGTATACAACAATTACCATGCCTGAGAGTCAAACCAGGCATAGAAGGATGTAAATATTTTCCACAGGCAGTGGCAGAAGCAGGAGTTTGTAGAAGGGCCTGGAATCCAGACTTAATTTGTACTCTCAGTGCAGCTTTTCAGACTATTCGTGCAGCTAAACTGTCTCCATGCAGTGCTCACTTTTGGCTTTTGGCTTGTTGCCAAAAGAAGCTTCTGTCCTGACGTATGACTAAAAGGTTTTGATGTATTTCTGCTTTAGATACACTTGGCTATATAAAAATTGAAAGTAAACAATAAAACCTCTTGGAAAAAACCTTTACTTCTGACATTGTCAAGAATGACAGTGGAATCTAATAAACATTACCATGGACCCACTTTAAAAGTGAATCCAATATACCACTAAATTGTAAAAGATATTCTCTACCTAGAACTTCCTTCATGCAACTTTTTTCCTTCCTTTCCTATCTTCTGGCAGTCTTTTTTCTGGTGTTTTTAAGCAACACAACAGTTTGGTAGTGTTTTTCAGAAGATGTATTTTTAGTCAGGGAATAGACTGTTCCAGGAAAATCCTCAGCACAAAAATGTACGTTGCTTTATTTAAAGAGGATTAATGGGATCAGATATACCACTGTGACACCTACTCAGCTTCTTTCTTTCCTGTGTCTTTCAGGTTATTTGCCTTTCTCCTAAAGTTCCATTAATACTGCACCAAAACCAAACAGAAGAAGAAATGAGAAAGGAAAATAAAACCAAACAGAGCCTTTTTTTCTTTTTCTCCCAAAGGGAATGGGTCTTATAAATCATGTCTTCAATGGAGACAGCCTGAAGAAGCTGTACCCTTCAAACCTTGGTATTGGGCACACAAGGTACTCCACCTCAGGAATTTCTGAGCTACAGAACTGCCAGCCTTTTGTCGTAGAGACTCTTCATGGGAAGATCGCTGTGGCACACAATGGGGAGCTAACAAATGCTGCACTGCTCAGGAGGAAGGTTAGTACCTCCTTTGGGAGGTTCTGGCATCATTTCTTTCTGAATGTGAGGCATCAGTGAGCAATAAAGTTGCTGTGACTTTTCCTTAATATCAAACTGTTTGGGATAAGGAAGGAGTACCCTAATCAAAATAGATCATTTTGGAGGGAAAAATCCTGTGCAGCGGATTCTGCCTTGATATCTCTTTCTGGATCTGCTATAGGCAATTTCATATATTCATATTTTACCTCTCTTCCCAGAGCATGCACAAAGCTAATTAAATGCCCCAAACATGAATTTGTGCCCTGAATATTGGTGGCATTAGTTTTGGTTGTGTGTGGAGCAAAGGAATGAGATGAAAAGGGAAAAATTGAGTACTAGTGTAGATGATTGTACTACCTAGTTTTACATAGTTGGTTTGTTGGAAGAAACTTGGCATTATTATGACAGGATCAACTGAAGCACTGATACTTTTTAAATTATTTGTTCATCACACAAAGGTGTTGTTAGATTAAACTCTGAACAGCGTTATGTGAGATTTTTTTTTAATGCTGGTAACACTTTTGGTTTGTGTCTTAAAAGCTTATGCGGCATGGTGTAGGACTGTCGACCAGTTCTGACAGTGAACTGATCACCCAGCTGCTGGCTTTCACACCTCCTCTAGAAAATGATGACACAGCTGACTGGGTAGCAAGGTGAGGAGAATGGGTTTCAGAATCAAGAACAGCAATTTGATCTCGGCATGATATGCAGCTGTAAATGCACACAGCTGTTCACATGACACAAGGTTATATTCACCTATGTCTCATTCCAGAATAAAAAACTTAATGAAGGAAACTCCAACTTCATATTCATTGCTAATTATGCATAAAGACATAATCTATGCAGTACGTGATCCATATGGGAATCGCCCGCTCTGCATTGGTCGCCTTATTCCAGTAGGGGACATGAATGGAAAAGGTAAACCACGTATATATCCATATCCATATCCATATCCATATCCATATACTGATGTAAGTAATTAAAGCTATACTTACTGAGGTGTAGGTAGGAATATGTGATGCAAAAGTCAGTTTTGAAAAATAAAAAAAAAAATTGGTAAGGAAAAAATAATTTGTAGAAAGTCTGCAAAATTCTGTTCCCAGATAAAGGGAATCCTAGTGGCCTGGTGACTGCCACAGTTAGGCAGCCTGGCTGTAATACAATATTTGTGAAAATTTAATTAAGGTCTCATCGCTTAAACAGGAAAGCAGGGATGAACAGAAGGGTTGAGGTTGGAAGGGGGCTCTGAAGGTCATTGGGCCAAATCCCCTGCTCAGACAGGTCCACCTAAAGCCAGTTGCTCAGGATGATATCTAGTCCAGAAACAAGTCTGGTTTCTTCCTTTCTTCTATAGTAAGGTGGGCAAAAAATGCCAAATTGCTTGCAATGTATTTCTGAATTCCAATCACCCAGCCACATGTAATACAGTAATGGAACGCTATACAATCAGTTTATGGAAAAAATTCCATGTGTTCCTGTTTAGCTTGCAAATCGACATTTTCTCTTAAATGAGATTTAAATATCTTAATTTGTTTGAAACTAAAATAATTTAATGACTAAGTAGTAAATGCTTCCATATCTTCATAAAACTGGGTAATTTTAACCACAAGAAAAATTACCAAGATTTTTTAAAACATACAGACATTCCTACCCTACATAGCACAATTTGATGTTTCCTGTCGTTGCCTCTCAAAACTCTCCTTATTGGAATTCAGTCCAGGATCCATTGTATTCAAAAGCATCTATCTGTCAATGCATAGGAAAAGTAAAGAGTTTCTTATGTAAACAAAAGTAAGTATGTATATCTAAATTTACTGAACTCGAATTGGAAAAGTTTGAAATACCTGAACTATCTCTATTCATGAACCGTGAATATGATGCTGTTACTTCCACTTCTGCCTAGAACAGGTTTAGGATGTTTATGTTGTGGATTTGCTTGGGATTTTTTTAAAATAATATTGCAGAAACGGTGGAATGCTTTACCTTTTAGTTAAAAATTACAGTGGTCTTTAATTGCACACTTGGCAACCTAAACTATAGCAAGCCAGATCTGCAGCAGAAATGCAGTTGTGGGTGGTCATAGTTGCAAGAACTGGGAACTCTAACTGAAATCTTTTATTTCAGGAAAAGATAACACTGAAACAGAAGGATGGGTTGTCTCCTCTGAATCCTGTAGCTTTCTGTCTATAGGTGCAGAGTAAGTGCCCTGATTCTCACTTTATCTGAAAGGTCTCCTCAGGCAGTGATTAAACATTAAATATCAAATTGCCAAATATCATAATTTATAACAGCATGAAAGACATCAAGGATTAGTTTGTTGTGGAGGATTTTTTTTTGCCAGTCCTGGTTTTTAGCAGTTTATTTTCTTAAACAGATGATTGTAAAACAAGAATTATATGTGCAGAAAGTAACAGTAAAGACAACTTTACTGTTGCAAAGTAAATGCCTCTTACTTATACCTGGTTATCCATACAGATTGTTCATTTTAGCCTCATTTGCAGCAGCATTGTTGTATTACAAAATAATTCTTTAACTACAGAAAAGTTACACTGGTAGCTCACAGGCTGAACTAACATGAGCTGTAGCATATGCTGTCTGATGAGTTGGCCTCCTTGTTAGAAAAAAAGTAACTGTGTTCTGAAACTTCTTCAAAATCTCTGTTAAGAGAAGCTCACCATGTAGGACCTGAAACCGGTGGGGTTTTAAAAAAGCAATTTTGTCTAAAATTCTGCTGTAGCCAATGCTGCTGTCTGCTGCTGCTACTATCTGACCGGTGAATAAACACAGAGTTCCTCACCTCTGATTTGTATCTCCAGAATATTTCAGTAGTTTGTGATAGATGTAGATTGACTTTGTTAGAATATCCACTCGAGGACTCACTGAGCATTTAGAAAAATGTTTAATAAGGTTAAATACTGTAACATAATAAACCTAATACTCTTCTGTATTTCTTCCGATTTGAAAATTTGACTGTACATTTCTAGTCAGCTCTATGTCATTCAGGTGTAGCTGTCTGTCATCTCTAGACAGATATTTCTCTAGATTTAGCTTGTGAGAGGATTTTTTTGTCTACCATCTCTATTCCTAATTATATTTCTTATATTGCACTGTAATATTTATTAGCTTTCATAGAAAAGTTCTCACGTATTGATTCAGGACTATATTATTAGAATATATTCTATCTCAATTAAGCCTGTACTATATGTCACACATAGGACGAATACCATAATTCTCCAGCACTAAGTATTAATTTACTGCTTTTGGATATTAATTCAGACTGTTTTAGTAAGGGTCACTTGTCTTAGAATGTTAGTCTTTAAATTCTCCAGGTCAAATCTTAAGATAAAAGCAAATTGTCATGTTAGGATGTTCAAAAGCGTTTTTTCCTGTCAGTTTACTCTTATTTATACTTCAAAACTATCATCCACGTTCAGGACATTCCTAACTGCTATGTATTTCTTTTTCAAGGTACTATCGTGAGGTCCTTCCTGGAGAGATTGTGAAAATATCCAGACATGATGTCCAGACACTGGATGTTGTACGAAGACCTGAAGGAGATCCATCAGCATTCTGCATCTTTGAATATGTTTATTTTGCAAGACCAGACAGTATATTTGAAGGTACGAAAATGTAACGTACAGACCTCCTCCCTATATAGTGGGAGATGTTATCCTGGAGCACACGTGGAAATTATCTGCGATCATAGTAGGGTACCACTGAATGTAAGCTTGCCGAGCACAGCTGGGATAGAATGGGTTGGCAAAACTTTTGAGATAAAACTCATCAGGAGGAGTAAACTGGAGTTTAATTCTCTGTGTAGTGATACAAATGTGAAATGCTGGAATATGACAGTATAGAAGGAAATAAAAAATGACCTTATGCAAGTGATTGCTTGTCAGTTATGGAGCTTTTCTCACTAACTTCTGTGCCTGCAACTTGCCACAGAAATTTGTTCAGCAAACTGAGAGGAAATCTGAATTATGCATACCAAGAAAAACACTTCTTGTTCTTAGGTCAAATGGTGTATTCAGTCCGGAGAAGATGTGGACAGCAGCTTGCTATTGAAGCACCCGTGGAAGCAGACCTGGTCAGCACTGTTCCAGAGTCTGCAACCCCAGCAGCTCTTGGTTATGCTCAAAAGGTATATGTTACTTTTTTTTTCCCCCAAGCATGTTTACACATCTCTTTTTGTAACCGACTATGATGATATGGGCTGCTAGAGTTGTGTATTGATAAAGCTTTATATCTTCAATATGCAGGGTACTCCTATTGAGTCATCTGCCTTGTTTTTTCTGTCATTATTCCTTTATGTTAAGGTATTTAAACGTTTTTTGGTTACTGTGAAGTCATACTAAGTCCTAAGATTGCTTTAAAAAAACAGTAACTGAGAATAACAAGTCTTATATATTAATTCTGTTTAACTGTCTCCTGTTTGCAGTGTGGACTACCGTACGTTGAAGTACTCTGTAAAAATCGATATGTAGGGAGAACGTTTATCCAGCCAAATATGAGGTTACGGCAGCTTGGTGTTGCAAAGAAGTTTGGTGTTCTGTCTGATAATTTTAAAGGCAAACGAGTTGTTATCATTGATGATTCAATTGTGAGGGGCAATACCATTTCACCCATAATAAAACTACTGAGAGAATCAGGAGCAAAAGAGGTAAGTTAATTTTAAGTCAGTACAATACAGATGTAAATAGAAGTTGATGGGAGGGTAAAGCACAGGAGTTTGTCCTAATTTGTACTATACATTGCTTCCTTATTTAAAAGGACAAGCATGGAGAAAAACAATGGCTAGTGCATGTTTATTGTGAAGATAGGTTAAGAAGGTTCTTTTGTATGACTGTCACTTTTGGGAGATTAAGGTGGAGAGGAACAGGTCTCCACTTAAAAAGCACTATCTGGCAAATAACAAGAGAATGGAAAACAAATAAGTTAAGATCAGAAAACCAAGTATTCCTGATGTGTAACTTGTGGACCTGCATAAAACACAACCACATATTGCTGTAAATACCACATGCCTTAAGTTACCAGAGCACCATTTTTTTAATTGGTAAAGATTTTTTAAGCAAAACAGTGTGCAAGTCAGACACTGGAGCAAAATGTTACATAAAATGGTTGACTTTGTAAACTGAAACTCGTACATCAAAGACTGAACACCACAGAAGAAAAGCAAAATCAGGATGGAACCTTTTAAGAACTTTAGGAAATACTGTAAAAAGTTCTGAAAATGTCTTTCTTTCTCCACCTGTCTTGGCATTTGAAAAAACTTTATCTTCCTTTAACCCTTTGATGATTTCTGTACAGTGCTATGTTCTGTTCTTCATTATCATTTGCAGAACTGAGACTTTGCTATTGTGTTATAATCTGCTGACTGTCAACTTATAGTAGTCTGTTTTGAAATTATATTTTTATTCAGGTGCATATCCGTGTGGCTTCACCTCCCATAAGATTTCCTTGTTACATGGGAATAAACATTCCAACTAAAGAAGAACTCATTGCCAACAGACCTGAATTTCGTGATCTTGCAAACTATATAGGTAAATGTTACTTGTTTTTTTAGGTTGGTTTGTTAGTTTTTTTGGGGGGGGGAGAGAGATTTCAGCTATAGGTATTTTATAGTCTACTTTAAAATAAAGCCCAACACAGCAAGGCAATTGTAGCAAAAGTTACTAAAAAATTGCAAGGTTGATAAGCTAGGTCTGTGCATTGTGAGTGCTCTACAGATCAAACCAATTTAGCTACACACTTTTTTTAAACAGAGTTAGGGAGCTGTATTTCTCAAAACAATAGAAAGTATTAAAATAATTGCATAAACATAAGTTACAAATAAAGTATGACAACAAAGCTCTCCAATATTTAAAGCTCCTTCCAGGAACTTTCACAATAAGGAGCTACCAGGAAGAAAGTAAGTCCGATGATGAAAAGCGGATGTAGTTTCACTTTCATGAGATATTCATAAAAATATATTCAGAATTTTTAAACACCCACTGATTTTTGTACAAATTTAAATTTATGTAAATAATTTAAACTGCATTATATATTTCACTTTGAAAGAAATGACATTTGAAACCAAGCAAAAAATGTCAAAAAACTTCTCAAATTTCAAGTCACGTTTGCAGCAGAACAAAAGAAGAATCAACAGTTTATGTTCCACTGTAAACTCCGATTTCTTGTGTTAAATACTCACTCTCACTGTCTAATACCACAAAATTATTGTGAAGGCATGCTGAAATATCTCAAGTTTGTAGGATCTTTTTTTTAAGTGTTATTCACTATATAATGATTGCAAATGATAGAAAACTAATGATCTATCAAACTTTTCTACTGCTAGAAAATTTGCATGAACTGCATAATGAATTTTTTTAAACATGATGGTCTTCCCCTCCTCCAAGTCCCAGTGAGGTTTTATAGTCGTCGGTGCTCAGATTTGGGAAGCAGCAGCCACAAACACATCTGCTTCCAGACCTGAACTACGGTAGCTCTGGGACACTACAGGGAGTTTAAGGAGTCTTAATACTAGACTTTGCTTCTGTTTCTGCAGTATGTGTGATGTATTTGTTCCCAACTCAGAACCTTCTGTCTAGATTTCAGTGAGTTTGCTCCCTGCACAAAGCATTTGAGAAGGGCAAGGCATATTATGATCAGATAATTTTTCAGTCATTCTCTTTAGGTAAGGTGATCCACCTGGCATTATAATCCATACGATAATGCAACTGCATTTCCAAAGAGCATTGCATTTGGTACAATACTGCAGCTTTAACCAACGAATTCTTTATTTCCTCTAGGAGCAGACAGTGTTGTCTATCTTTCTGTGGAAGGGCTGGTATCATCTGTGCAAGAAAGCATCAAAGAACGACAAGAGAACAGCCCTAAAAGCCAGAAGTCATTTATTGGAAAGATTGGTCATTGCACAGCATGTCTTACTGGAGAGTATCCCGTAGAGCTAGAATGGTGAATTTTTAGTGGATGGACATCAGTTCATCTATTGTTGAATGTACCTTTTTCAATGATGCCTTCTTGTTAAATAGCCTCCTTGCATTTAGGTAATACATAAACCTTATTACAGCTATCTAATTACTGTTACTAAAACACATCTTTAAGTAAAGATTTACAGAAAGTCTTATGTGCTGATGAAAACAATGTAAGCAGATTTAAATACAAAATCATGTAGTTTTGATGCACAGTTGTGCCTTCCATTTTCTCACAAAATGCTATAAAAACCAAAGTATTTTTAATTATGTAGCAGTCCCAGAGTTTGTTGCTTCAGTCTTGCCCCGAAAGATATCCCTGTTAGACTTGTTCACAAATCATGAATTTTGTGGTGTAATTTCAAATTATCTTAATGCAAAGGCATCTGAAGTTTGCTTTTCTCCTTAGGAAAAATACCAGATTCTGAAGAATCAAACTGCTTCCTCAGCAGTTCTTGCTTAGGCTTTTTAAGAATGGAAGTACCTAACTTTTGCATATATACCTAAACAGCCTTTATTAATCGAGGCCTTTGTAACAGATTCTATGCACATAATGTCTAACATATAGTTTTAAAAAATGAAGACTCAGGGAAATGCTCAGCCAAAAGCTCTCTAGTTTTGTAATTCTAAAATTCTTTTTTAGAAGTCCAGTGTAATTATATTATCTTTGTGTGCTTTTGTCAGTTGGCAATACAACGTGGAAGGAGAAAAAAAAATACTTGGCACTGCTTTTCTGTTTTCTGTTTTACATCTTGTGTTTTCCAGGATAAGTCCTTACAATTTCCTAAGTCTGAGCTAATGCTCAGTGTGCTTTTCATGTGTCAACGTCCAAAGCAAACTAAAAAAAAAACAGTAACAGTAAAAATTAATTTTAACAGTGAAAACGATATATCAAACAAAGACTGAGTTGTTGTAGGAGTAGTCCTATTTTACTACATTACTGCTGTTAGAATAAATGTCATGTTTGAAAAAAACAAGTGTTCTGAAGAACCAGTAGCTGTTACATGCATTGTATTTAGTTGAGCACAATTACACGGTTACTTGTATACAGGAAGATCACTTGGACAATGAACCACTAGCTGAAAATGGAAAAGCACCTTTTGAAAACTATTGCAAATTTACGCACAATTGTAAAAATATTTTGTATACCTCATTTTTTTCACTGAATACCAGCAACTTAATTTTAGATTTTCTATTTAATATTGTGTATTTTGGCCTTATAATTGTTTGTGATGATGTTAAAAAAAATAAACAGAAAAGTTTAAGAACTTTTTCCTTCCCCATCATCTTCCATATAGTTGAGAATTCCATTACTGGTGATTAAATTCAAAAGGGAGTTTTCTTAGGTGGGATCTGTAGCAATTGTGCCTGATAGACAATCACAACACAAAAGTGCTAGTTAGAAAAAGAATGTAAATAGATTTAATGGAGTCAAAACTGTCTTGTGCAGTGGAATCAGAACCTACTTGCATTCAAGCCCACGGGAGAACTCAGATTTGATGAGCACTGGGCTTTTACTGTGCATTCTTCACCAGAGCCCAGGTCTGCATATTCGGGGGGATGTATGAGGATCTCTCCTAATTAGCAAGTTTGGTTTTTTAACAGAAGCATAACAGTTCATCTGGACAGCAAACTGAACAAAACCAGAACAGGTTGGACACTGACCACCACCCTTCCAGGGTAACCAGGAAGGAGTATGAGAAAACAGAAAAACTGTTAGCAACATTCTTCACTGTTCTTCTTTCCTGCCCCCCAAAAAAGAAGAAATATTTTTTAAAAGAAGAGATAAGTTGAGCCCTTAGGTTATAAATACATGTGAGGAGTCCTTTCTACTTAAAATAAACACTTAGGTGCACAGTTTAAGAAGGCTGCAAGCAGAAGTTGGTCTGTCTGAAATTGTCCATAGGACAGACTGTAAGTGAAACTTGTTCAAATACTCTTTCAACATGCTTTCAACAAAACTGATAGTTTTGAAGTCCACTAATAATTTCTTCAATGTGATTTGAGCATTGGGTGGCATAATTCTGATTTTAAAAAAAAAAAGAGTCCTATTGTCTTTTCCCCCCTCTATGTTAGACATGTGAAGTTCTGTCTGCTACTGTGAGCACTGTAATTTTTAGATGCACTACATGCTGAATCTTTAACTTAAGGTTTTGAAAAATATGTAGTAAAGGGGAGATAATTCTCAAGTGTCATTTTATTCTGACAGCTGGATTTATGCTTTAGGTTACCAGGCCTTTTCGATCACATACAGCCAACACACACACCAGTGAGTATGCTGAAGGAGAAAACTCTGGCTTTAAGTGTTGCTATTTGTATTAATGTTTTACTGTGAAACCGTTTCTGCTGTATTACCAATGTGCAACTATGCCAAACTTTCACTTACAGAATGTGACAAAACAGTGGAAAGCTGATGTTTAACTTCTCCCCTGCTTAACATTAAAAATGGTTGTGAACTTGTGTTCTCGTTTTCTCTCCCTTTGCGGGGCTCGCTGGCAGCACACACAGAGGCTTCTTTAATAAAGTCACCTTGAAATCACCTTGGAGCTGGAGCAAATCATGAGGGTGCTGAGGCACTGAAAGAGGTTGCCCAGAGAAGTTGTGGATTCCCCGTCCCTGGAGGTGTTCAAGGCCAGGCTGGATGGAGCTGTGGTCTGTGAGAGGTGTTGCTGCTCATGGCAGGGGTTGGAACTAGACGATGATAAAGGTCCCTTCCAACCCTTAACATACTACGATTCAATGATGTCAGGCCACTACCAGTGCCCCCTCCCAGCACGGCTCCCGATCCCGTCACCCTCACTCCTTAGTGGCGGCCCTAAATCGCATGCGGTGGGCAAAGTCTGGCCCCGACCGCCCTCGTTGGCTCCGCGGGACACCGAGCGGGACAGCCCGGCCGAAGCGCAGGGCAAGAGCTGCACCCCGGCTCCCACCCGGACATGACATCCCCGGCCCGCCCACGGCGTACCACCGGCAGGGAGGCCCGTACCACCTCCTGGGCGAGGGGGGGTACGGACACACGCCGACGGAGACGAGTGAACGGTGAGCGTGGCGGCGGAACCTTGCCCTTCGCCACAGCCACCTGTGATTGTTTTAGCCTATGTCCGCCGGGGAGCTGGGGACAGCGGGGCAGGCTCTGGCTCGCCCGCTGTTCCTCCCTCCCTCTTTCCGTCCCCCCCTCGGGAAGCGATGACACCACCCTACGTGGGACTCTGGCGGAGTGGACGCTACTTGCGGATGCCCAAACGGCGCGACGGATGCTGGCCAATGAGAGCGCGGCCTTGCCGGGGTCCAGCCAATCGGAGGCGCGGCCGCAGCTGGGGGCGGGGCCGAGAGGCGCCGGAAGTGCCGTAGGTGGGAGCCCGCGGAGCTCCGGGAGCCGCCGGGCCGCGCTCATCCCGAGTTGAAACGGGGAAACCTGGAAGGGGCGAGCGGGGGCACAACCCAGGGCGGTTGGTCAGCCGTGCGGGCGTGGTGGAGGGGCTCGGGGGCAGAGAAGGGCACTAGCACGAGCAGTGCAAAATGCAGAGGCTGAGCAGTCCACGCGTCCAGGTTTCTGTTTGCAGAGGAAGGATTCGTGTTTCGCTGTTCCACTAAAAGAGTTATTAATTAATTAAGGATTGCTAATAGAGATATTAATTCAGTGGTGCTCTGCTTTAAAAATAAAGGTGTAACGGTGAGGAACAAACTACCTCTGTACAATGAAGCCTTAGTGCATTGCTATATCCTGGGCTTTAGGATAAGACTTATGGCAAATGAGTCAAGAATTCAGCTTTAAAACATTGCAGTCTAAGGTGCAATAGAGCTGTGTGTTCTCTGCCATGGATCTTTTTTCCCTTCTTGGTAGTGTTTTGTATGCGTTTATAATTTGACTAAAGTATTAAAAGTAAGGAGGTGACAGTGCATTTTGGTCTGTTATTCTTCCAGAGGATCTGGAGCTGCGTGGCCAGGATGACACTTCAGGAGCTGGTGGCTCGGGCAACCAGCCTGCACTCGGATAGAGCAGCAGTTTGGTTTGATGAATGCACTGGGAAACCTCCAGCTTTCTACACCTACGCCACAGTGGTTGAGCTGGCTAAGGAACTAACAGCTTTCCTTCAAAAGTACTGTGACCAGCAAGGCAAATGTGAAATAGGCCTTTACTGCTATCCAGGAATAAACCTGCCATCTTGGATCTTAGGGTAATGGTTTGAGCATTTGCAATGCGTGTTAGGTTTTTAAGGGTCATCTCTGTTAAAACAAATGTTATAGTTTGTTTAGATTTTTAGTAACAGCAAAAATGCAGTAATACCACAGTAGTGCAATTAAGAGGTGCTGGAGTGTTGCATTCTTTAAAGAAGAAGATGGCACTATTACAATCTTTTGAAAAGCCACTGCTGAAAAAATTTTTGAATCTTAAGTTCTAAAGGTCTGAACAGTCTGTAATTGCATCCTTTTTTACAAAGCAATTTAGCATATTTATAGAAATACCAAAAAATTGATGACTGGTATTTTTTTCTACTTGTTTAAAAAATTGAGGTGATCTGATAAATATCTATTAAAAAAAGGACTATGCAGGTTTTTTAATGTATTGTCTTGCTGGCAAAAAAGATGCTCCGAAAACAAATTTCATGTTTTAAGCTAAATGAATATATGTTTAATGTTCCATTACAAATATTGCAGAAAGAAGTAATGAGCAATGCAACACTGAAATGATACTGATTAATTAGTGGCTAGGAAATTGAAATGTTTGTGATCTAAATACTCATGTTAATCCAGCATTTTAAAAATCCTGCTTCTGCTGATTAATTCTAATGTTTGTATCTTTTATATACGCATCTTTTGTATCTCTAGCATTTATGATGTATTAGAGAATCACAGGATCATAAGTATATTTTCTTCAGCTGATGTTTACAGCAGCAGTTGTGCTTCCTGGGGGAATGGTCTGTGTCAGTATTTTTCTGTTGTCACACTGCATGTAAAATACACAATAGCACAAGAAGAGGTACCACAGTGGAATATAAAGATTTCAGTGGAGTGAGTGAGCTCTGTAATCATAAACCTCCCAGAAGCACTGAGAAATGTTCTCACTGGTCAGGAAACACTTCCAGTGCAGCAGTGGAGCAGGTTGCCCAGAGATGTGCAGGTACCGTCTCTGGAGGTGTTCAAAGTCCTGAACAGTCCAATCTGGTGTCAGAGCTGGCTCTACTTGAGCAGGAAGTTGGATTCGACATACTGAGGTCCCTTGCAACCTGTTTTATCCTGTATCCCAGTGAACTGAGCAGTAACACAGTTTTCTTTTGCTCTGTGAGCAGGAGCTACTGGGGTGCTTTGATTCCTGCATCTGTCACTGCCGAGTAGCTGACAGAGATCTGATGCAGGGCAGGTTTAGGTGCTCACTAACACAAGTGACTGTTCAAGCACAGAGAGTGCTGCTGTTTCCATGTCTCCATTTGGGATCTCAGCATTACTGCAGTGACAAACCACTTGCACAGAGAGGAAGTATAACTAATTGTACATACAGTACAGAACCCAACAGTAGAAGAAATGTGAAGATTTATGGGGACCGTTCATGTTTTAGTGGCCATGCACTCACCTTGGCTTTTTCTGTGGTAACGAATTCCAGAGCTTGTCGTTATCCAAGGGCGCCGCTAGAGGTGGGCAGTGAGCAGCTACCGAGGGCGCGCTACAGGGCAGGGAATGGGAGCACAGAGGTAGTTGGTGCTCCCCTTGTTTTTTAGGGAAGATGTTCCAGTTATGTGCTCAGATTTTCTTATGCTGGATTGTTTAGACTCGTGGTAGAGTGTTTTCAGTGTGCAGGCTTTTGCTGTTTTTTAAAATGTGTTTCTGCATGTTGTATGTATATAAAAAGCTTATTTTTCATAGAATCATAGAATATGCAGAGTTGGAAGGGACCCATCAAGATCATTGAGTCGAACTCCTAGCCCTATGCAGGACACCCCAAGAATCACACCAAGTACCTGAGAGCATTGTCCAAATGCTTCCTGAACTCAGACAGGCTTAGTGCTGTGACCACTTCCCTGGGGAGCCTGTTCCGGTGCTCAACCACTCTCTGGGTGAAAAACCTTTTCCTGATATTCAACCTAAACCTCCCCCAACTCAACTTCATGCCATTTCCTCAAGTCCTGTCAGTGGCCACGAGGGTGAACGGATTGATACCTGTCTCTCCACTTCCCCTCGCGAGGATATTGATTTTTGTTCCTAGTCAATAGCAGAAAGTTGCTGTTGATGTCATCACTTACTTGCTTGGCCAGAAATAATATTGAATGTTTTCATCTAGCTTTCATTTTTTCCCTTGCTGCAAAATACCAAAAGGCAACACTGATTATTCATTCTACTTTATTACCAAAAAAATCCTTAAAAGTCATGTTATGACTACATTTTCTAGCTCAGCCAACTATAAAAGAAATGTTAGTGAAAATTTAGAGGATTTTCTTAATTTTTTTTTTTTTTTTAAAGTTTAAAACATTTGTGTCTTGTTAGAATCCTTCAAGTTCCAGCTGCCTATGCACCTGTTGATCCAGATGCACCACCAACCTTATCCACTTACTTCATGAAGAAAACCAATCTTCAGTATATTCTTGTTGAGAATGACAAAATAAATGTAAGTTTTCAGGCTTCTACAGGAAGCAGTAAAGAGCACTTCGGATGTGTAGATATTCAGATTGTATTCTGTTTTAATAAGCTTGGATGGGGTGCTTTTGTTTCTTCATGCCAAGAAGTTGTTCTTCTCATTCAGAAAAGAACATCTTTAAAATTAGAAGTATGAAGTGCTTCTCCTCCTCTTCAGAAAAATTGCCTTCTTTTCTGTTATGCTGTTGTTCAGACAAGCTTGTCGGGTACCAGCATTGGAAGACTTTTCCAGATTTGTTTCTTCATATGGCAAAGTTAAGAGTTGGAAATCTGCAGTAGTTCAAAAAAACTCCTGCATTTAATACTTTAGTTTCTTTTTGTCCAGCTCCTCCCAGATTTTATACCCTCACTCATTGCAAAGGGAATAGACAAGATTGGACCATTTAGAGTAATTTCTCTTCTGCAGCATTCTTTTGTATATTTTCCTTTTCTTTTTCTTGCTTAGAGAATTGTTTATTTTGCATTCATAAAGTCTATGTTCACTCATATTTAATATGTAAAAACACATGAGCCTAAAACTATCTGATGCGTGTCCTCCAAAAGTAGAGGCATAAAAAATCACAGCTTTTTTGTATGAAATGCTGTTTCCTATTTCGTTGCATACAGTAGAACAACAACAGTGCATCCTGAGTTCTGCTGTTTGAATTGTTTATTTTCTCTTACAGAAATTCCGAATGTCCCATGTTGGGTGTTTTTCCCATGATTCTTCCACAATAGAACATATTGGTTTAACTCTCTTCCAAATGAGCTCGAGCAACACTGATTTAAATTCACAAGTAGATGATATGAAAAGTAAATGTGAACCTTTCAAAGCTGTGGGTAACTCACAGC